CAGAGAGCGAAAGAGAGATAATGAAGAAGATGTGTGATTTATAGAAGAAGCATATTCCGTTGGCTTTCTTCACTGTTGGTAGGAATCAGTTGTGTGTGTTGGTTGGTGGCTTATGGTACGCCTGCTTACGTGGATACACGTGATTGGGTTTAGAGTTTTTAACCGTTGAGACTAAGAAAAGCACCATATGGTGAACAAATAAAAGATTTTGTAATTTTGTATATAGAAATATTGAGTTAATTTTATTCTTTAATCGGTTTTATTAGAGCTATACGATAATGTATTTTAGTCATAAGGATTGGTTTGAAAATGGTTTATCACTTTTTGTTGTTGATGGTTTTTTCAACGAAAATATCCAACCAACCTTTTGACACATCCACTTTATAATTTAAAAATATCTACAAAAACATAAAGTAAAATTTTTGACAGTCAATATTCTTTAACTTTACTGAATAATTACGCAATTAGGATTTATAACCACGTAGACGTGCAAAACAATAGTTATCTATGATTTTGAGGGATTTTTTCAGCAGAGAATATTATGTGATTCAATTGCAACGTACTTGTGTTTTATCTGACAGCAATAAACGAAGGGTCTAGTACAAAATGATGACGAACTTGAAGTCCAAAACCATATATAATTAATCAAATTTATGATTTTATTTTTTACAAACAACTAGGTACCACTAGCTAGTGGACGTTTCAACCTCTTTCATGATAGTCGCGGGCCATGTAAAATACATAATATCTTGGCTATAATAAAACTAATTATGCAATATAATATCTTTGGGTTTGGTTTGATTGATCAATTGCAACAATATATTCCAAACCAACAACAAAACATTTCTTTGATTTGGTTTTTCATAAGCATCTATTAGATATTTTTTTGTGAAAAGTGAAAATTGTTGTTCTTTTTACTATTTTAAACGTGGTGTGAACTGTGAAACATCAAAAGATATAAAAGTGATAAATAAATTTTCAATAATTGCATTGCTATGTTATTTACTTTGTGGGTCTAACTCTAACAGCGACCATTTTGTAATTTTGTATCAGAGTTGTCACATTCACTTTACAATATATCGTAAGCAATCCTCTTCCCTCGCGTACAAAAATTTTCTTATCGTCCGTTACATGCAATATATCAATATTACGCGTATTATTTACATAAAATAAAATACTTAATGGGCCTTTATGGGTCTCGTTTCGTATAATAAATGAGCCCAGAGTTTCATCAAAGAAAGCGTACAAATATGTTTGTTGCCCATAAATTCTCAGGTACACGTGTGATACATAAAGTATAATAAATGTTGTAAATTTTCTGGTCAGGTACATATAACGTGAATAGTTTTTATAACATAAAATGTGGCGATTTGGTTGAAAACATAGATTGCATGAAATAACCATCTTCTTACGATCATATTTTAATATTCATAGAACACAAGATAAGCTCTAACTCCAACTAATAATCATCAACGAATTAATTTCCTTTAAGTATATTGTATAGCTTGCTTTTTCACAGATATTTAAAAAAAAAAATATTCTTTTTTTCTTTGAATTCTTTGTGATGAGATATGTGGTGGTGGTTGTAGTGTTGTTTATGATCTCTTTGGTCGTCTTGGGATCGAGCGATGCACTTGCACCTACCGTTTCTTATGAATGGGTCGTCTCTTATTCTCAACGTTCCATTCTTGGAGCCAACAAGCAGGTTCCATTAATCGATGAATCGCTTTTTTATATAACAACATTTTGATTTTAAATCATTATATATGAAATGAAACATCAATGAACAGATCATAGTGATCAACGACATGTTTCCTGGACCAATCCTTAGTGCAACGGCAGGCGATATTGTGAACGTTAACATTTTCAACCATTTAACCGAACCCTTTCTCATGACTTGGTAATTCTTTTACATACAATTACATATATATTTTGATTTGTTTTCTTCTAATTATAATCGTTATCAAAACAATGTATACACATTTAAGGAATGGATTGCAAATGCGGAAGAACTCGTGGCAAGACGGAGTTCTAGGAACAAACTGTCCCATATTACCGGGAACAAATTGGACATACCGTTTTCAGATAAAGGATCAAATCGGAAGTTATTTTTACTTCCCGTCGCTTCTGCTCCAAAAGGCGGCCGGGGGATATGGTTCCATTAGAGTCTACAGTCCAGAACTTGTCCCGGTTCCATTCCCTCGACCCGATGGCGAATTTGACATCTTGATCGGAGATTGGTTCTATACTGACCATAGGGTAATTTTCGTTTTCATGTTTGCCTTATAGTTATCACAATAACCATTAGAAACCCACTTCATTGGTCACTCAAAGAATGTCGTTTAAACATATTGAAGTATGTTACATACATTAATATTAGCTTGTTTTACCTAATGATATTGGTAAAAGGATATGAGAGCTGCACTTGACAATGGTCTTAGTTTAGCAAACCCTGATGGTATTATTATTAATGGACGTGGACCCGAAGAGGCATTTTTTGCATTTCAACCAGGTGATTTCTTCAAATTTCTTTTTAAAAAATTACATAATAAGTCACATTTATAATCATATCATTAATCTACAATTATACATAAAATGTACGCTTTCTTTTGTGTGTGTATAATCGCAGGTAAAACATATAGGCTTAGAATATCAAACGTGGGTCTTAAATCAAGCTTAAACTTCAGGATCCAAGACCATGATATGCTTCTAGTTGAGACTGAAGGTTCTTATGTTCAGAAACATACCTATTCCAACTTGGACATCCACGTGGGCCAATCATATTCCGTTCTCGTCACTGCCAAAACCGACCCGATTGGAATTTACCGGTCCTATTACATTTTCGCCTCGACCCGGTTTACTAATTTCTACATGTCTGGTTTAGCTTTAATTCGGTATCCTAACTCCCCTATTGACCCGGTCGGACCAGTTCCATCCGCACCTGGATCGTGGGATTACGCCTCGTCGGTTCGACAAGCCCTTTCCATTAGGTAAATAAAAAAAATCTCTAAAATTCTTAAATTTACTAGCGAGTCAAAAAAAAAAGACACAAAATCATCATCGATTTTCTAAATTAGACAGAAGAATCGCTAAAACAATATGGTATAGTATAATATTTGTATTTAAAAGTAGATTTGACTGTCTAATTATTTTTTAGTGTAGTAAATGGCTCCGAATATAAACAATGCAGATATATATATAGATTTATGTTCATACTATCAGTTTCGCCATTTTTTGCATTGTTTTCTATATTAATTTATATGAGCAAGTTTCCATAGATTTTTTTTGTTTGCCCGTTTAATTACTTCTCTTATACAGAGAGGACTTAGCCGTTGGAGCGGCAAGACCAAACCCACAAGGCTCGTACCATTACGGACGCGTAATCGTAAACAGAACGTTAATCTTCCAAAACGACGTAATGCTATCATCAAACAAACTCCGTTACACAATTAACGGCGTTTCGTTCGTCTTCCCCGAAACGCCGTTAAAACTCGTCGATCATTTCCAGCTAAACAACACGATCATCCCAAACATGTTCCCGGTTTATCCTTCCAATAAACTGGCGAGTCTCGGTACTTCGGTCGTCGATATTCGGTACAAAGATTTCGTCCACATTGTTTTTGAAAATCCTATATATGATATGCAAAGTTGGCACATCGACGGTTACAATTTCTTCGTCGTCGGGTAAAAATTTGAACTTTAATCATAAATTATATTCTTAAAACTATATTCTTAAACAAGGTTTCAAATAATATATTTTCGTTTTTGATGTAATTAGAATGGGATTTGGAGCTTGGTCCGAGAGCAAAGGAGCTGGATATAACTTAGTGGATGCTGTTTCTCGTTCAACAATTCAGGTTTAATGAGAAAATATTAATGAAACTCTAATTTCGTGATTAACGTAACTAAACCAAATATTAGTTTTTTCATTAGATTGGTTTGGTTTTGGTTTAGGTTTATCCATATTCGTGGGTAGCGATTCTGATAGCAATGGATAATCAAGGAATGTGGAACGTGAGATCACAAAAAGCAGAACAATGGTATCTTGGTCAAGAGCTTTACTTGAGAGTTAAAGGAGAAGGACAAGAAGATCCTAGGAATATTCCGGTTAGAGATGAATCTCCGATACCGGATAATTTCTTACGTTGCGGCAGAGTTACGTAATTAAAAGGGTATATATAAAAGAATAACAAAATCAAAATCAAGGGTTTTACTAAAAACAAAGGAAAAACTCGAGTTTTTTTTTTTAATTAGTAGAAGTAAAAAACGATTTAAAGGAAGGAATTCTTTTGTTTTTAATCATCAGAGTATTAAGGATCGGGTGCATCATTAGAATCAGACGACCGTCGTGAGAAGTTTTGATCCAATCTCATCATTTGAATATGAATCTTAATTAAGAGGAAAAAAGAAACAATTTCGTAAACAAAAATCAAAAATCGAAGTTGATAGCTACCTTCAAGAAATGC